TAAAAGGGAGTTTTTCCTTCCCACTGTCGCCAAAGTGCTGCTCATAGGGGGTCATATGATTGTTGGGTTTTTCTCTGTATCTATGAAGCACCTTGAGGCGACTTTTGTTGTGATTTGGCGCTATATAAATAAAATTGAATTGAATTGAATTAAAAGCATCTTTGATCTGTGAAGTGTTCTGTTAAATAGATCATTTTTTTCCTTTCGTACTTTTGTCGCCGATTGACGGATATTGGGTTGTAATACAATATTGTTGCTGTGACTTCAAGTATAACTACTCTATAGAATAATAACTGTTCCATATTGCGCCTGTTTAGTTGTAATTTATCCCTAAATGTGACTCACTCAGTGTTGCATATTTTAACCTGCTATTGCTCAAAATGACCACCTGGTCATAAAATTTAGAAGAAGAAGATTGAATAACCCTTTAATTGCCCCACAAAGGGAAATTTGGTTGCAACAGCAGCCAAAAAAAAGCACATATTCAAACAGAACAGGACACAGAGCAGAAACACAAGTTTTACATATTTACATCATGGACAATAGTTACCAAAGTTACTGTACAGTTATTAAAATTAAAGTACAGATGAGTGGTAAACCCATGTTGTTGTCAGGGTCCTGTTTTTTTTGACCCCGTGTTTTGAGTTTTCTATGTTTTTGTCATTATGAATTCTGTATTAAGTCCTCAGTGTTAGTCTTTAGTTATTCTATAGGGTCTAGTTTCTTGTGTTCCTTGTTTAGTAATTTTCCCTCTGACCCCTGTGTCTCCCTCGGTGTGTCTAAGTGGATATAGTGATGTGAGTATTGTGCTTTGTTCCCACTCCTTGTGTTCTGTGTTTCCTCATCCCCTCATGTGCTCCTCCATGTTCTCTTTCTCCCTCTAGGGTGTCTCTGCGTACTTCCTGTTTTACTTTGAAGGTCTGCGTCTCATGTTAGTGTATTCTACTTGGCTTCCTTGTCTCGTTAGTTCTGATTTCTCCGAGCTGTGTCTCCCCTTCCCCGATTGCCTCTGTGAATATATAAGCCCTGTGTTTTCTCCTGCTGGTTGCTGGTTCATCTGTGATGTCTCCACGAGTCTCCCTGTGTTCCTCTACATGGCTTCAGTTTCATGTGTTTAGATTTTCCCAGTTTAGTTATTTTTTTAGTTCCTGTCCTTGCCATTTCCACTTAAATAAACTCTCTCCTCATACCAACCTCTGCGTGCACTTGGGTCCTCACTTCACCTTCACAGATCTGCCATCGCAGCTGTGACAGATGTAGTGTGCGAACAGAGCAGGATACTGAAAGATGTTTAAATAGTTAAGAATATTTCGAATAATTTAAAAAGTGCAGATTGTGTATTGTACCTGTGCAATAAAAAGTAGACATGCAACTTCCAATAAGTTAGTGTATAAACTGTGAAAAGTAATGTGCAAGTTATA